TGGCATGGATCTCAGCCTCACTGCAACACTAACTCCCGCGGTTCAAGTGATTCTCCTGCCTCAGCCTTCTGAGTCGGCTTGGGATTACAGGCGCACCACCATGCCCAGCTAATTTTTGTATTTTTAGTAGAGACAGTGTTTCACCATGTTGGTCAGGATGGTCTCGATCTCTTAACCTCATGATCCGCCCACCTCGACCTCCCAAAGTACTGGGATTACAGGCCTGAGCCACTATGCCCAGCCTATAGTATCTTTTAGTTGTATTTTTTAAGTCTATAAGAAGTGTTGATATAGTGTCCTTTTTTATTTCAATAGTGATAAATTGTGCTTTTTTGTCTTGATCAGTTTTGCAAGAAGTTTGTTATTTTATTAGTCTTTTTCTAAGAACTACCTTTTGCTTTTATTAACAATTATAATTTTTGTTTTATGTTTTCTTAATTTTCTTTTCTCTTGTCTGTAGTATTTCATACCACTCACTTCCATAGGCTAATTCTGTTCTTTTTCTTTCTGTTGTCGGATACTTAGCTCACAAATTTCCCTTTTCTGTTGTAATAATTTAAGGCTATAAATTGCCTTCTGATACCATTTTAGCTGCATCCCACTGGTTTTGATTTATAGTCCTTTTGCTATTATTCAGTTCTAATAAGTATTTTCTAGTTTGTGTTGATTTATTTCATGTGTGAGTTTTTTACAGGGGTGTTTTACATTTCCAAATCTATGGCATTTTTCTAATTAACTTTTTATTGATTTCTACCTTAATTGTGTTATGGTCCAAGAATAATAGCCTATATGGTACCAGTGTTGTTTTTTTTGTGTGTGGTTTTTCAAATTGCTGAGGCTTGCTTATGGCCTAGCATAAGATCTTTTTGTTCTGGAAAATAGTGTATATTTTCCAATTTTGGAGTTCTGTATAAATCCTTAAAATCAAGCTTTTTGATTATGCTGTTCAAAATTATTTGCATCCTTTCTGAGTTTTTTTTTCTCCTAGTTGATCAGTTACTGAGATATTTTTCCACTGTGATGGTGGATATGTTTTATTCTTGGAGCTCTGTCAGTTTTTGCTTTGTTTTGAGGTAATGTTATTAGGTGCAAACAAGTTGAAAACTGTCTTATCTTCCCATTCTATCAATTTGTATCAATGAGGTAATGGCCCTCTTTAGTACTGCTTTTTTGCCTTAAAAGTCAGTCTGTGTTGTCTGTTTTTAGCCACACCAGTCTTCTGTTGGTTACCATTTGTGTGCTGTATAGTTTTTCTTTCTTTTCTTACTTTAAACTTCCCATTGTTCTGGTTTTCAATACATCTTTTTTTAACAGACTGGAGCCAAGTTTTTCTTTAATCCCATCTGATCATTTTTGTGTTTTAAATGGAGAGTTTATTCCATTTACATTTATTGTAGTCACTTATAGATGTAGATCTATTTATGCCATCTTTTTATATGTTTTATGTTTGTCCTACTTGTTTTTTTCCTTTTCTTTTTTTTTTTTTGAGACGGAGTCTCGTTCTGTCACCCAGGCTGGAGTGCAGTGGCGCGATCTCCACTCACTGCAAGCTCCGCCTCCCAGGTTCATGCCATTCTCCTGCCTCAACCTCCCGTGTAGCTGGGACTACAGGCACCTGCCACCGTGCCCGGCTAATTTTTGTATTTTTAGTAGAAACAGGGTTTCACCCGTGTTAGCCAGGATGGTCTCGATCTCCTGACCTCATGAGCCGCCCGTCTCAGCCTCCCAAAGTGCTGGGATTACAGGCGTGAGCCACCGCCCCCGGCCTTTTTTTTCTTTTTACCCCATTCTTCTTTGGAGTTGATGGAGGATTCCTTACCTTTCCCTTTTGCTTCCTTCTTTCTCTTTTTCTTTCTTTCTTCCCTCTCTCCCTCCACTTTCTTCCTCTCTCCCTCCCTTCCCCTCCCCCTCCCTCTGCCCTCCCTTTCCTCCCCTCTCCTTCCCTCCCTTCTTCCCTTTCCTCTCCTCCTTCCCCTCCCTCCATCCTCTCTCTTGCTCTCTCCCTCCCTTGCTCTCTCTCTCTGTCTGTCCTCCCTCTCTCCCTCCCTCTTTCTTTTCTTAGGGTCTTGCTTTGTTGACCAGGCTGGAATACAGTGGTACAATCATACATCGCTCACTGCAGCCTTCAACTCCTGGGCTCAAGTGATTGTCCTGCCTCAGCCTCCTGAGTAGCTAGGACTACAGGTGCTTGCCACCATGCCTGGGCTAATTTTTAAACTGTT